GGTCATTTGGCAAATTATGCTCATGGTTTTGTTGGTCGGAGCACAAATTTTTGGAGCAGCGGAAGGATCGGAGGGGGGAGAGTGGCGTGAGCTGTAAGCGGGTACATACAGTAGGCAAGCAAACTTGGGTGGTCTGCTCGACCTGGAGGTGGGAGTTCGACGAGGCGTTTATGAAATATCCGCGATATCCGGAGGCATGGGTCCAGGATCCGCCAAGAGACCAGGGACGTCGTATTTTCAAGGAAGTTGCTACCATTCACCTATTGGATAGTAGTAGAGGTCTACATCTAGAAGTTTATAAGAAACCGCGAGACCCGGAAGGAAGAACGCGACGCACCTAATCAGACTTGCTCCTTTGCCTCCTTGTGCACTCGCTCGTGTTCCATTGACGAAAGGAGCGTCGGGTCCCTGGCAGGCGTCACCGCCGAACCTCCAGTCCCCATCGTCGTCGCTACGCCTCCCTTCTCCGTGGAATCCGTCTCCGACTTTGAATCCTCTTCCCTTCCTGATGTTGGCCAAGCGAGTGTCCCAGGGACAGGAGCCGGCGGCCCAATCCACCAAACCGGCCACCTCCTACTCACGTTATTCGTCCCCATTGCCACAACACCCATGATCGTGCTCGTCAACAACACCACCCATACATACTCCCACCCCAGCGCTCTCACTCTGTCGTCCAATATCGGAATGAGAGCTGTAGCACCGGCGGGCGGATGCGATGTCCCTGTCATTTGCATGAGGACGATTGCGATTGCGGTGGATAGCGATGAGGCGAGGAATTGCAGGGAGACGAAACGTTCGGGAGGGAGGAGGAGGAAGAGCTTTGAGATGGCGGTACCGAGGATGGCGGAGAGGAAGTGGCCGCCTATGAGAGCGCGTGGTTGGGCCAGGGGTCCGTCGAGAACGCCGTATATCAAGACCGCTGACGCTCCCTGGATGATGATTTCAGTACTTTTCACCGAGCAGAAGGCGGAGAGAGACGCACATAGGAAGCGATGAGAGGCGGAACGCCCTTGTCGACAAAGTAAGAGCTTCGGGTGAACATGATCTGTACGATGGCAAGTCCGCCGAATGAACCTATGAAGCCCCAGATCCAGATGATATAGTTTGGCTGGGGAGGAACGGGAGACGCTCTATAACCGAACCATCGACTGAACCATGTCGGGAGACGCGACAAGGCGTTTTGGCTTGGTTGTGTCGTTGGCATTCTTCTATGTCGAGTCGAGATCGATTAGTCTTAGAGATGCAGGAAGGACAGAGGGCGATCCATAAAAACCAGACTGGGACGTGGTGGAGGTTAAGAACATAGCTGCATTTCTGAACCCGCGGTATCGAAGAATTTGGTTCGTAATGGCGATTTGATATTTGATGCGCGATCGCCCTACATTCCCGATTGTGTGAGCTTGCTTCGACGCCACGCTCTCCGTCGCCAGCGTTGCTCGACATCCCCAAGGAATGTCGTTTTCTGCGATAAGTGTGTAGCAAATCTCACTTTGCTAGAGTACTGGATAAACCGAGAATCCTGTCGGCCATATCGATGACGAATGGGAATGGGGTTTTCTACTGACAGTTCAAGATTCGGTGCTCGGCCGTTTTGACCTCACAACAAGTACCCAGATTATATAGCTTTCAGGAAAACAAAATACTTGGGCGGTAAAATGAAAGAAATTTCAGATTCCACATTCCACATTGACACAAGCGGGATTCGAACCTGCCTAATCGCAACAGCAGCACTATATGCAGGCTCTCCAGTTCAGCCATCGTGTCCTACTGCTCTTTAGCTCTTTACCGCATCGAGTAGTTTCAAGTGGCCCATCAGCAGGAGGCCGTCACTCACATCGCCCTAGTTGATTACACGAACATCCTCAACCAGGAACATCACTACACTACTGCAGTGACAAGAAGCCATCAATGATATATGCTACGTAACATTTCCCTGGTGCTACAGTAAATAGCTGGATCATCGAGGGGGGAAAAAAAAGGTGAAAAATTGAATGGCATGTGAGTCCAGATGGCGCTGACAGGATTCGAACCTGCGTGATCAAAGGCGTTCACGAGTTTGCCAAATCGACCATTGCGCCTTGAGCGTCTAAAGGCCGGCGGTGGTTGTATCCCCCAAAATAGACGAAGCAAGGTTAATTGTATCCTGTTGCAGAGACATGGGCTGAGCGCTGAGAGGCCGTAAGATCCATTCTTGTATCTGAGTTATGACCCTGAAGGAGCAAAAATGAGTGCTACCACAAAAATCCACAGAGACGTACAGGATTCGAACCTGTTAGAAGTACCTAAATAGCACCTTGGCCGCTTGGTCACCCCGCCTCGCTGCATGAACAGGCAATTGCGTTGCTATAGCTCCAAGCATTCGTTTTCGTAAAAGAACTCGTACGTCTGATAAATCAGGCTACCGCTCGATATCCACGGTGCTTTGTTCAACGCGCTAATCTCGACGTCCCTAACCTTCCCTCCTTCAAGGGTATAACTGAGAAACGTGAGGAGACGCGAAAATAGTCTGACGGTACTTGGCTTTGGTCATGACCATCAAACCTGCCCTGCCTAGTCGAGATAACACAGGTTCGACTCCTACTCGCGTCGTATCGAGGGATTTTCATGTATTTTTCTGCTTTTGACATGTCTATCACCTACAGTATACACCGCTCTTTTAATGGCAGTGCAACGGCCTTTAGATTCTCCAAGTCAAAATGCTGATGGAAACGTCAGCATGAACAACATAAAAAATCACACCAGCAAAAGAAAAGTACCATGTATGACAAAGCGGACGAGGCAAGACAGGAATCGAACCTGCATGAACCAAGGGGCAAAGTCGCTTTATATGTTGCACTGAAAACCAGCTTGTTGCCTTTAACCATTCAGCCATCATGTCTCCGTCACAATCTATGCGGGTCTGGGAGATTATGCAAGTACCTCGTTAATATTACATAGAGGTGAGCTCTAATTATCTCCCTTGTTCTTACAGACACCACCAAACAAAGAATATCGACAGTAAAAAAACATAGATACCGCTGGTTCGAGCTCATAGCACGAGTAGCACCGTATTTCCGGTGGTCCATTTGCCTCGAGATCGTTCAACGATCTGACCAGCCTTGCCAAAGGGCAATTTGATAGGTATTTTTATGCGCGACCGCCCTAACTACCCGATTCGTGTGAGGGTTGCTTCGACCCCCAAGTTCTCCGTCGCCAGCGGTGCTCGTGTGTAGCAAGCCTCACTTCCACAGCGTATTTTCACGAATCGAGAGTTTCGTCGGCGATATCGAAACCGGATGCGAAACTTGAAATGGGGTTTCAAGTACACTGCAAAAATTCTGTGCTTGGCCGTTCACTCCGAAAGGTACATACTAGGATTGTGTAGCTTATAGGGAAAAAAATCCCTCGTAAAATTAAACAAACCTCCTAGCAGCGATTACGGATTGACACAAGCGGGATTCGAACCTGCTTAATCAGAACAAGTCGGGGGTCCATAGACTCTCCAGCTCAGCCAATCGTGCCCTGCTCGCTATCTCCTTAAAAGGTTCCTGGTGCTCCAGGAGGCAAGTGTTCGCATGGACCAACAAGGAAGACTTGACCCGCAATTGGATAAAAGAACAGCCTAGATACTGCACGCGAACAGGTATCGAGAAAAAGCGGAAAATCAGAATACAAGAAGTTACCGTTAATGACGCGTTTCAGGATTCGAACCTGCGTACTACTTAGTGTCTGTAAGTCTGCCAATTGACCATTGCGCCTTGAACAGCAAATGGACGACGGTGGTGGTATCCCCTAGAGATCAAAGTAAGGGTAACAAGACCCTCTCGCACATGCCTAGGTTGAGAAGCAGTAAGTACGCTAGTTACTACCCTCCAGTAACAAAAATGAGAATTTATGCACATCACGGGAGATATACAGAGACGTACAGGATTCGAACCCGTTTAGTACTACCCAAATCTCTAGCTCCAAAGACTAGTTTCTCCTCCAGGAAGACCATCGCTGACGTCTGATAGATGGTGTCCAATTATCTACAGCCCGATACCTATCGTCAAGAAGCTTGTCAGAGATACGTGGTTCAACGCGCCAACCTTGCAATGTCAGGAGACGCGATAATAGTTTGGCGGTAATTCACCATGGTCATGGCCATCCCATCCGAGGCAACACAGGTTCGACTCCTACTCGCGTCGTTGCGGGAATCGGACATATTTTCTTCTACTTTTGGTATATAATCCCCGAGATCCCACTCGTTTGCTCGCAGTGCAACGGTTTTTGGATTCTACAAATCAAAATGCCAATTCAACATGAAAGACAAAACACCACACTAGCAAAAGAAAACTGCTACTGTTTGTAAGAAGGAGCGGACGACGCGAAGCAGGAATCGGACCTGCATGAACCAAGGTGTAGATTCATCCCTCGCACTGCACAACAGCTTGTTGCCTTGAACGGCCATCGTGTCTCTCCTTTTGTCGAGGCACGTCTGTCCATGGATGAAAAGTCCCTCGTCGACGACACCGTGTCGATATAAATTACCTGCACAGTTGGAAACGCACCCCATATAACCACCTTGTGTTTACAGATAGGCCAATTTATCAAACGAACAATACCAAAAGAAAAGAAAAAATCAAATACAGCTGGTTCAAACTGACAGAACTAGCAGGAGTCGAACCTGCAGTAACGTGTTTCCAGTGGTCGATTAATCGCCTGGCTTGTTGCCTTGGCCAGCAGGCCATCGTGCCTCTACAGCCCTTGAGTAATGCTTTAGTCTTCATGCACGCTCGGCGAATCTGGGAGAGCGCCACCGGTGTTTCTGCTACTACTTTCACTGCAATGCGCCTTGCGCCATGCCTAATTGCCGTTTCTTGCCGCCTACAAGGCAACCGTGTATAGATCATGACTTGGGTCGAAATCCTTTCTTTCCATTCTAGACAAGGCATGGCCGCTGCTCGGTGGCTGGTCCAAGACAGAGGATCCAGGAGGCAAAAGGTTAAAAGGCAAAAGAAGAAGCTTCGAACTTTAGGAAGCGACACCAGCAGGATTCGAACCTGCGCCCTCAAAGAGGAACAGATAAATGAACACAGGCATTTAGACATTCTAATCTGTCGCCGTAACCACTTGGCTATGGTGTCTCTGCAGCTTGCAGCAATCTTATAACTACCTTCGCAGAAAGCTAGAAAGGGAGATGGCGGGGTGAAAGTCAGGGAGAGCATGGAACCCTTTCATCGCGCTCGTTCAAATTTCCTGGGCGCCGATTAATTTCTTCCATGAATCTAAACGGCGGAAGGAGCAAAGATCCTCAGTGGGATATGCGACGGCCATCTGCACTTGCAAGGTATAATCAAGGGTGGGATAGAGTCGAAATATCCTTGATAATTCGTTGGTAGATTACACTATCCGAGATGCATTGACCCTGCTTGACTCTAATCCTGAGAAAAGCACGACACATCAAAGTCAAGCGCACTCAGATTCGAGTCTTTTTCCTCCCACCCATCAGCACCAAGTTCGTCGTCGTCATTCCCTTCCTCAAAATGATGGTAATCTCCTTCGCCGCTGTCATCGTTCCTACAAGAGTTCACCGAACAGTCATCCTGGAGCTCGATTGCTAGTGTATCACATTCCTCTATCATCCCGGTGATGAGACTCGACTTGCATGGGGATCCTTCTCCCGGTTCCGCTGAAGGAGTAGATGGGATGATGATGGAGAGACGACAGAGGGAAAGCGGACGGATGGGGGGAAGGCTACTCTCTTCTGGGTACGAAGCTGAGGATAAACGATGATTAGAATTTGAGAAGGGACACCGAGGGGTGCGGGATGAATGGTGCGAAGTCGACGATGACGACGAAGGATTGGCGGAAAAGCCAGATAGAATCTCTATGCACTGCTCCGAGAACCATTCTTGAATTTCCTCAGTGGTCGAGAGTGAAGAATTGGATTGGTGAGCGTCATATGGGGACATGGTGATCGGGATAGGGGTTTGATGGATAGGCATTAGATGGAGACAACGTCTGAGATAAATAGCGATGTCTGAGGATAAGGAGAGTGGAGGTAGGCAGAGGTATCCGCGAAGATTGAAAGGGCGGCCGAGGGAGCCAGCGACGTCCCCATGTCGGTTATATAGAAAGAGGAACGGTCATTGTCGTCATGTCATCGAGGGTCCTAGATTTGTCGCGATTGGAATTTCAAAATGGGTGGTCGGGCTTGAGTCAGGGGCCATTTGTTGTCATTCGAAAAGTTGTTACGGGACGGCGGGTGGCGTTGTTGAGGAGAGAACGGATGAATAGTGCGTATGCTACAGATTATATAGGCACTGCAATGGCTGTTGCAAGGATGGGGGACTTGAAGTCAGTCGTAGATTTTGCTTTCGAAAAAGGAACAGATCGTGAAGGGGCGGACGATAGATCGTATTGGGAGCAATGAAAGAGGGTAGCGCATCATAAGAGGTCTGCGCTACCCCTCCCCTCCCTATATCTATCCTCATCGGCATCTACATTCAAGTCCTCGTCGTTCTCAACGATCTCTTCCACTTCAAATACCTCAGGGAGGCTGTTGCGCCATTGCAAGATACGCATCGCCCAAGGAGGGACCCTAGGGTCTGCAGCGCCGCCAGCACGAGGTGCGATTAAGTTGGCATAGAACAGTCGGATGAGGTTCTCGTACGTCAAGCGACTGTCATTCAGCGCCTGAGTATGGGCGAGTTGGGGAGCGTTTGCAGGAGGATACAAAGGGGCGGGAGCGTGTAGGTGGTGCACGGGCCCGTGATTAGACGCAAGAGCCACTGGAGCTTTTAGGAGATTCGGCACAGGAGCTAATAGACAAGGAAGACGTATGGGCGATAGCGGAGGGCCCCGCTGCGATGCGTGAGGAGGAGAATGCGGACGCCAGTATCCTTGTACAGCACCAAGACTATTCGGATGACCATTCAGCTGGTTCGAGCCAGACTGAGCTGCAGCACGGTATGGGTGAAACCTTGCTTGAATACTTGGAATGGGAAGACGAGGTGGCGATTGCGCCTGAATACAACCCAGACGTCTTGCAACAGGAAGAGCGGATGGACGAGGGGGGTTGGAACAGTGTAAATCCTCCGGACAGGCCGGAGCAATAGGAACAGATGGACGAACAGAGTTACCATGTCTTGATCTACAAAGACGACCAGGAATTGGAAGAACAAGTGGGTGATCCTGTGACACTACCGGTTCTGGTGGTGCATCAGATGAAGTGTTGAGACCAGGAGACATGGCAGGTTCAGCTTTGGCGCGCACATGAGATGGTGAAGCGTGTCCTGGACGCTTGGAGCAGTCCGGCATCTCTTTCTGTGCCTCTGAATGAATGTGAATTGAGTGGTGAAGCGTTGGGCTAGCTTTTGTGACTGTACCCTCCAAAGCCGTCGAGAGGAGAGTTTAAGCCAACATAGTGATTGAGCTCGTCTTCACTAGATATAGCTGAGGTCCTGAGGACCCTGGGCCACACTTTCGGACACAGTGCGACCAACACGTGTAGGCGTTTGGACAAAGTGAAAGCGAGGGCCAGCTTGGACCATCGTTGTCGTTGTGAGGTGGTCATGGCGACACCTAAGTACTAAAGAGATTTGACGGTATGCGAGAGCATTCGCCCTGCGTTGAGGTCTGAGAGTGTCAGAAAGCAGAAATGGTCATGGTGGACGCTGGACAAGACTCTTGTCACAAGAGCAGGCCGTCAAAGTGGTGTCGTCATCGAGTTGATGGCTAATTTGATGGGTGTCGAACAGTTGCCTCTTGAAGCGGGGAGGAGCACTAAAATGATAGTATTGAAGAAGAAGAGCTATATACTACATCTACAAGGAGCTAACGATAACAAAGACGAAGACAAATGTAAGGGTGAGTCATAGTAATACAAATGCGGCTGTGAATGAACTGAGAGAGCGATCTCGGAATCGCGGACAAAAACGAACCACGGGCGATGACGTGCATAGAATAGGAGAGAAAGATGTGGATGAGAACTTGGAATTGACTATAGGATGCCGACGCTAAAGCTCAAGTCTGCTTGGTCTGAAGCGACGCCTTGACAGGGTAAGCATCCGTAGACACGGTCAATGGGTGGAAGACCTGTGCAAGTTGTTCATCGGGGAGAATGCCCCGGAGGTAAGGGAGAACGTCGTTGGGCTTAAACAACGCCTTGATTTGCGTTCCCTGGGTGGTGCTCAAGGCGACGCTGGATGGGGTGATGCTGGAAGGGGCGTCGTACGCGTCAATGGCGCCCTCACGGGTAGCCTCATCTGCTCTCGAGTTGTTGGCCTTAGCAGAGGATGAGGTAGAGACTTGCTTTGTCATTGCTTAACGACACGAACTTGTTGATCTGATCAAGCTCAGTAAGACGAGAGGAGGGACAATGGGTTAAGGAATGGTCGTGGTGGTGGAGAAGAAACAAGGAGGTGCTTCCTCGAATTTATACCTGACGGTCCATCTGCTTCGGCATCCTATTCGTCATGAAATTCGTGGCCAGACTCTGATACAGCAGTCAAAGTGTTGGAACAATATCGCTTTGCTGGAATTACGTTGGACGCCCGTGCTTGAATGTGAATTCGGGAGGGGAAGTGGGTCTCATTTATGTACGTATGTCGCGAACCTGAGATGAGCTGGAATGGACAATGCCATTGTCCAGGGATATGGAGTTGATGAGATAAGATAAAAAGAGATTGTTGTGACGTCTCACCCGCGCATTGTCTCCTTGTTGGAGAGAAACGTTCTTAATTAATTTCGAGGCTCTTGCTTATCTAGCCTAAAATCCAGAGTCGCTGAGAAGTGACCGAAAACGTCTGTCTTCACCCCCTCACCACCGGGCTGCCGAAATGACCATCGACTCTTAGCCCTAAGCGCATTACCGACGAAATCGCCAAAAGGTGATATCCAACACGGGGTTAAGAATCTGAAGGCCGGCTTGGCCTTCGACTAGCAATTAATTGGAGCTCATTAAACCCCTACGAGTGAGCACTTTGTGGCCAGCACTATGACGACAGCAGCGCGAGCTGTCATTTTCTCGGGGGAGTTCCAAACTGGAAAGTGAGTTCTTGAAATAGAACCCACTTGGAATGAGTATAATGGTGGCACCTAACGGTGTCTAGTATAAGAAGCGACATGCTGTCTCTGTTATGCACTTACCGTGACACTGGGGGTTCTGCGCATTCAGCCAGATGCACCGTAGAGTCGTGGATCGAACCTCAAACGTTCCTCCTCGTTTATACCACCCTTATCGCCGGTACCTCTCTTCAGAGCGTCCATGTTCAACTGCTTCCGATAAAACTCTTGTGTCTGCCTTAGGTCCCGTTTTCGCCGTCCACTCAGACTTGGAGAAGAAATGTCACAGCTCAATGGGCCCGCTCCGCGTTGGCTTCCCTGCCAACTCTCCCCCTCCTTCTCTGCTCACCAGCCACGATGCCAAAGGCTATCACGCAACACCATTCGAGAATCCAACAGTTCCTTTCTGTATCAGGCAGGCAACAACCTCAACTCCACCAAGCTTTGCAGACAACGGGATTTTCGGTCTGGCTTCATCCGGTGTCCTGTTTCCTTATACGGCGTACGACAACGAAGGCGACGAAAATGAAGACGAGGTTGAACTAGAAGACGAGGCCGAAGAAGGGTCGGATAACGAAGATGAAAACGAAAACGAGGCTGAAAGCGAAGACGAAGGCAACAGCGAAGGAACGCCTTCACATCCACAATCCCTAACATCCTCCAGTGACGACGCAAACGATTCTCACTCGGTCCTTGACTGCTACGACTATGATTACCCTGGAAGGGAAATCACGACAACAAGGAACGTCAATGACGTCGAAATCACTTTATATCACCCGAAGCCTCAGTACCCTTGTCAGGACATCACAGGGGAGCATCGTCGCTGGAGTACTCCGCATCTGACGCCTTCGCCTACGTTTCCTCGTCCGCGTCAGGATCTCAATCGTGTGGCCTTCGCAAGCGAAGGAGTTGTAACGCTCAATGCCACCTCAGAGGCTCTTCTATGGTCTGTGCCAACTCGGGGTATTAGTCAAAGCCATTGGGCATGGCGTGGGAGGGTTGAGGACAGGAGGCATGCAACCGGGTTTCAGTCGCTCATGCATAATAGTTATTTTCCAAACGGGCCTCCTTCTGCTCT